ATACAGGTGGAGAGAGACTAGGATTCTAAGAGATATGGACACAATAAAGGATGGGATTTCTATCACCACTAGGAGCCTGTATCTCCACGGTGGAGATGGGGCTGGGAACAGCAAGATTTATGGAAACTCTGGCCTACTCCCTTTTAAAAGGGGGTAGAGTTTTGACAACTAGAAATGGAGGTGAGTATATTCTGTGCAGAGGGTACAAAATAATCAGGAACATAGAGGTAGGGTAGAGTAGGTCAGCCCCCGTTCATTAAGGCATCCAGTTGGCCACAAGCCTTGGAGTTTGGCTTTGCTTCCTGTATCTTAAAGGGATGGAAACTGAGGTTAAGAGACTGTAAGTAACCTGCCTAACATCTCCCAAGCTCCCAAGCGGCACATTCAAGATCAAAGTCCAGGTTTAATATATCCATAGAAAGATGTGTACAAGAATGTTCAGGGCTGTGGAAGTAGCTTAGTGGTAGAGCACTTGCGTAATGCACACAAAACTCTGGGTTCATCTTCAGCATTAATCCCTCCCCCCACCCCATGTGCGCACACACACACACAAACACACACAATGTTCAGAGCTGCTTTATTTGTAATAAACAGAAACTGGAATGTTTCTGAGATGTCCATTAATAAAAATAAATTTAGCCAGGCACTGGGGTGTAATCCCAGTGACTCAAGGCTGAGGTAAGAAGATTGTAAGTTGGAGGCCAGCCTGGGCAACTTAATGAGACCCTGTCTCAAAATAAAATATAAAAAGGGCTGGATGTAGCTCAGTGGTCGAGCAATCCTGGGTTCAATCTCCAGTACAGAGAGAGAGAGAGAGAGAATAAATTAATAAGGACAAATTGGAAGCCAGGCACAGTGGCCCATGCTTGTAATCCCAGTGGCTCGGGAGGCTGAGGCAGGGTGATCATAAGTTCAAAGTAACCTCAGCAACAGTGATGTGCTAAGCAACTCAGTGAGACCCTGACTCTAGATAAAATACAAATTAGGGCTGGGAATGTGGCTCAGTGGTTGAGTGCCTCTGACTTCAATCCCTGGTACCCCCACCCTCCAAAAAAAGGAAAAACTGGTCTATTTGTGCAATGGAATACAACTCAGTGATAAAACAAGAACATGGATGAATCTTAAAAAAAATATGTCTAGTGAAAGACTAGCTAGACATAAGATTATACATTGTATGATTACATTTATATGAAGTTTATAAAACAGGCCAAATGAATCTATAGTGATAGAAATCAGAAAGTAGTTACTTAGGAGACTGGCTGATAGGAATAGATTCCCAGAGGAGACCCTATTATGTTTTGGTATGGTCTAAAGTTTATATAGTAAGTATGCTTTACTTCTATAAATATCAGAACAACAAAGACACGTTAAAAACAGGATTCTCAGTTTAGAACCCATATTCATATTTTGTCTAATTAAGCAGCATTCACTGCTTCTATAGATGGACCAGGCCCCAGGATGTGAAAGCAGGAAGATGACCTGCTATGGGCCAGGTGCCTTGGGAAAATCACCTAATATCTCTTAATCTCACTCTCTCTCTCTCTCTCTCTCTCTCTCTCTCTCTCTCTCTCTCTCTCTCTCTCTCTCTTTCTCAGGGGGATCTAACTCAGGGGCACTTTATTTTTAAGGCAGGGTCTCACTAAGTTGCTGAGGCTGGCTTTGAACTTGAGATCCTCCCATCTCAACCTTATGAGTCACTGGGATTACAGGCATGTGCTGCTATACCTGGCTCTAATCTCCTCTTTTAAAAACCAATTGTGACAGCAATTTGTAAGATGCAAAATGTTGAAAGAGATGTGGAGGTTCTGGGCATAAGCCCATTACTGGGTAGCATCTCACACAACCCTTGACAGCCTCATAAAATGAGTAGCTCCATTTTACAGTGGAGGAATCTGAGGTTTGGATGGATAGACAGGAAAGCCCAGATCACATTAAGAATAGGTGTCTGAGTCATGCAAATTCTGCCTGTGTGACTCCTAAGTCAGAATCTCTTGACCCAGTCCTGTCTGCCTTGCTATTGCTCAGGGCAGGGGAGGGTCAGTCTAGCACACCTGAAAATTATCTGTGGCTCATGCATTTATTACTTGTCTCTCCACTGAAAGGTCAGCATTGTTATGTCCCTAGCAACTAGAATTAGCCCTGGAATGTTACAGGTAGTAATAACTCTTTGTTGAGTGAATGAATGAATGAATGAATCGGAAAATGAAAGAATTTCCCAGTAAAGAATCAAAGGAAGGGGCTGGGGTTGTGGCTCAGCAGTAGAGCACTTGCCTAGCATGTGTGAGGTGCTGGGTTCAATCTTCAGCACTACGTAAAAAATAAATAAATAAAATGAAAGTATTGTGTCCAACTGCAACTAATATATATATATATATATATATATATATATATATATATATTTTTTTTTTTTTTTAAAAAGAACCAAAGGAAGAGACCTGAAACCCATGGGGAGAAATATCATCCTTCAAGGTCACAAGACAGGCAAGAGTAGAGCAGGACTCACCCAGGTCGCTAATTTTCACTCAGCCCTAGTTCTTCCAAATCCAACAACTTCAGTTCATCACCACCCCTGTCCCTGGCTGCTGGGACCACAGGAATAAGTTAGTCTGGTTCAGGAAAGGGTCAGGGCAAAAGCACAGATGGCACCATCGAACCTGCCTAGACTGCTGCCTGTTAGTGCTGTTTGTTCCTCAGTTTCTCAATCTGGAACACAGGCACCCACCTCTCCACTGACACAGGGTGGGGAAGGATTCAGGAAGAACATGCAGAATTGGTCCTTCCTCCCTCAGAAGAGGCCAGATAGGTCTGAGAAGCTCGAGCACAGGAGTGGAGCAGAGCTGTGAGAAGGTTCCTCTGATACAGAGCCCAAGATCAGGGATGGGAGGCATCTCATTAATCCAACATCACCCCTGCAGACTGGATGAGATGCAAAGGTACAGATAATGGATGCAGATATGCAGGAAGTAAGGGGAGGCCAGGTGGTGGTACAAGAACCTCAGGGCTGTGCCCTGCCTGAGCATAGGGAGACCAGGGACAGGATCCCTCTGCTCCACACAGTAATAGTCCCATTTCTTCATCCTGACCTAGAGGAGCTAGGGGTCTACAGGCTGTTGTTGAGTGAATGAATGAATGAATAGACAGACAAATGGGGCAGGGTCACCAGCTCTGACCACAGCCTTGACTCCCAATGCAGGTCCTGGAAATCATGTGGGGCTTCCCAAGGCACTTGCTCCCCATGGTGCCTGAGCTTTGGTGGGAGGCCCTCATGAGACCTCAGCTCTGGGTCCCACAGACTGCCATCAACAGTCGGGGACCTGGAGGGACATGCCTCACTTCCTGGGGCCTGATGAAGCTGACAGGAAAGGTGGAGCTGGAGGTAGCAGGGTGGGAGCTGGGTCAGCACCCAGCTATTAGACCCCACAGTGGTTCTGGGGCCCAATCTTTGGGGTTGGGCCTGGGCCTCTAACACGGAAGAAATCCTGGTTCGTGTCTAATCCCCACATACACCCTTGGTAATTACCAGTTAAAACTACTCTGGCTGAGAGAGTTCTAGAGTGCAGTGAGTGCATCAGAATAAAGAAGGCCCTTCTGAGGGTGCCGCCCACAGCCAGGGCTGCACAAAGACCTGCTTGTTAATCCCACAGCCTCAGAGGCCCAGATCCCAATGAGACATGCAGAGAAGATGGAGGAAGAAGATGGGATTTGGAATCCAAGGCCTGACAATCTAGGCTTGTCCTGACTGGGCCACATAGAAGCTGTCTATCCTAGGGGTACCCTTGCTTCTTTGGGTCCCTCTGTCCTCACCTGAGTGGTAGGGATGGAGACCATGGCTGTTCACAGGACTGCTGGGAGAATCAGGAGTGATGCTCTGTGTGGAGGGGGCTGGCAGTCACAGCAAGGGTCCTGTCCCTACTCTCACCCCATCACCTGGTCCCCAGACCCAGTCTGCTGCCTGTCCCAGCCCAGGCCCCTACCTGTCACTAGCCACAGACAGGAGACAAAGTGCATGAAGGATATGACCAGCAGTAAATACTCAGGACTCTACATTCAAAAGTAGTCGGGGAGGGGGCTGTGGCTGTGGCTCAGACTCAGTGGCAGAGTGCTTGCCTAGCATGGGTGAGGCACTGGGTTCAATCCTTAGCACCACATACAAAAAAAAAAAAAAAAAAAGCAAATAAAATAAAGGCACACTGTCCATCTACAACTACAAAAATAAGTAATAAATAAATAAATAAAAAAGAGTAGTAGAGGGAAATGTCTTTGAGATCTTTAGGAGAGGTTTCTGCAGATAGGAAGAGCCAAGCTTTTTTCTGGGGGAAAGAAGAGGGTCTAAGCTGTCCCTTGGGTCATTCACAGGCCTGGATACTCACTCCCTGCCAGGCCACAGCCCAGGTGCAGGGAGCTGTCTGTCCACTCCTTCTCCAGCCCCTCCCTGACAGCATACTCCACCCACAGGCTCAGTGCTGCACAGGGAAGAATCTGCTATGTGAGGACTCAGGCTTGTGGGTCAGCTCTGGTCACTTTGATGATGACCACAGGCTTTCACACTGAACTTTGTCCCTCTCCTCAGTACTGCCCTTATCACACTAACAGTATCACAGCCTCTATTTACTCACCAGTCTTCTCAGGACCAACTGTCTTCCTGGTGCCACCCAGGTGGGTCCCAACAACATTGGATCCCTAAGCCTGGGTGTGGTTGGAGACAGGGTGAATGTATCCCCTGGAAGTTCACATCCTGACTGCTCCTGTCCACCTCACAGCTCAGGGAACCTGGGCCACCTCTTAGACCTTCCATTTCCTGACCACTAGTCTTCCCCCTGACCTCCACAGGTCCTGTCACAGATCCCTGACTATCTGCCCAGGGCAGGTACTGGCACTGTCCAAGGATGCGCAAATTCCCCTGGCGCCCAATTCACTCCCAGGAGTGCCAGCCTGAGGCTGCCGTCACTTCCCAGACACCAGGGGTCCTTGATGCCATCCTGGGGCCCCCTGCAACTCACCCATGTTGACAAAGCTCATGACCAGGTCGGTGCGGCCCAGGTGTCGCTCCGGGGACCCACCATCCTCATCGTCGTCGTCAGCCATGGAGCGGTAGAGGTCCAGCATGAAAAGCGGGGCAGATGCGGGCACCCGGGCAGCAGCAGGTGGCGCACGGGGCCTGGGTGGCCCGGGCAAACCGAGCACCGCCAGAATCTCACGCTGCATGTCGCGGTGTTCTCGATCGCCCAGCCGTCGTTGGGGACAGTTGTGCAGGGGGCGCGGGTCAGGGCTGCCTCTCAGCGCGCACAGCGCCAGGCCCAAGAGCCAGAGCTGGGCGGGGCGCCAGGCCATGGCAGGCCGGTCCGGGGTACTCAGCCCGCGCGCATCTGCTCCGCAGCCCGGCCAGGGAACGCCCCGACGGCGAGCAGCAGACTGAGCTTTTGAGGTCCGCGAGACACAGCGGGCGTCTCCCGGGGTCACAGGGAATCCCCAGAAACCCCTACGCGCGGCACCTGTCTGGGCTCTGGGATGTGGGGAAGCGGCCGCCGCAGCCACAGGGCATAGGCTACAGCAGAGACTGGGACTAATCAGTCTGTTGCCGTCGGTCGGTCCCGCCAGCTGAGGACGCAGCGGGCAGGGACAACGGGCGAGCTCGGTGGCGATCCCGGCCGCGCAGACCTGACAGTTACCTCCTAGCTGCCGGACAGTCGGTGCAGCTCTTCAGCCCCGCCTCCTCCCCGAGATAGACCAATGGGACACAGGGGCGGGGACCAGGCGCAGAACCTGCCCTGGGTTGCTGCTGGAGTTGCGGGTGGTAGCAACTCGAGGTGCAGCCCTGTGTTTGCGGGTGGGTGGGCTGTCGAGAGTTTCATAGGTAGGCCTGGCGTCAGCGTCATCGGGATGGTCCTGGGTTCCCCACCCACCCGAATGCGAGCAATGCAGGGCCTCGTTTCGGAAGAACCCACAGTCTCGGAAAAGCAGGCACCTGGCGCTCCGCAGGGCGTGTCCTCCAGCGCCCAGCGGGGCGGAGATCCCAAGTCCTGGTCCAGCCAGCCGTGAGACCCGCAGCCGCACTTTAGTGCTCGGGAGACGTTAATGGGCCTTACTCGCACCTTCAGGTGCCATCTGGAAGAGCTGGGCAACTACACCCTGAAGGAGGGGCACGTTCCTCTGCCAGGAGCAGCCGGCCTCGGGTCCCAACTAACAGCTCTCTGCCGTCTCTGGAAGTCCCCGCGGTTCTCTGTGTGCCCTGTTGTGGAGGCCTCCAACGCGTGCTCAATCTTTTCTCCCCATGCGCCCACCCAGCGGGCCCCGCGTGCGCACTGCGTTCACTACTGCTGATCCTAGCGCTTGCTACAGGTGCTAGCTAGCCTGCCTCTGACACCTAAACTGAGCTCCGAAGGCTGGAAGGAATTGGCTCCGTTGGACCGGAAATGTCAGTGGGAGGAAAGTGCTGCAGTAGAGGGAATGGCCTGTGTCAAGACCCTTAGATTCCAGGGAGCATCATAATAGCAGGTAACAGCACTTGCCTCTTGCCAGGCATGTAGAGTGTGTGTGTCCTGTACCGTTCTGTAATGTTAATATAATTGTTATGGGGTGCACAGAATTGGAACCCTCTTTTTGAAAAAAATATTTTTAGTTGTATATGGACACAATACTTTTATTTATCTGTCTTCATTTATTTATTTGTGGTGCTGAGGATCAAACCCAGCCTCACGTGTGCTAGGCAAGCACTTAACCATTGAGCCACAACCCCAGCCTCTGGATCCCTCTTTTTAACAGATGAGGAAGTTGAGGCACAACTTTTTTTTTTTTTTTAACAGATGAGGAAGTTGAGGGTAAGGGACTTTCCCCAGCTGATACAACAGTGGAGCTGGCCTGGGGCAGGTGGTCACCTAGAGGTTAGCTGTTCATTGAAACCCAGAGAGCAGGGCAGATCCAGGAACAGAGGCTGGAGGGGCTGCCAAGGGATGGACCACAAAGGGCCTTGCAGGGAGCAACATAAGGACCTTGGGCACCTAGTAATTATGATGTCTCCCATGAGAATTCAAACTTAAACCTCCAAATAAAGGTAGAATGTCCAACCAAACCACATTTTGATTGGTAACTTCAAGGTTTTAAATATCAACTAATTTTTTTTTTCCCGAGGCAGGGTTTTGCTATGTTGCCCAGGTGTTCTCAAACTCACAATCCTCCTGTCTCCACTAAAATTGTAATGTAATCATTTGTTAGTGTCTAGATTTTCTATTACCCAACAAAAAAAATTTCCACACTCCTTGCAAGCCCCATAAAGACACTGAATTTTAACCTAAGGATAATGTGGAAAGTGACCAATTTGAGACCAGAGCCAGAATGCAGAGAATGTCGATTACAGGGAGACTGAAGTCAGGGTCTGGAATTGGGGGCAGGTACAGCAGTTGGGAAAAGAGGGGACTGACAATGAACCCTTCACGGTGATGGGATGGAGAGGCAGAGGAGAAAGTTGTTTAGGAGACTGAATCCACAGGTTCTGGGGACAGGAGGGCAGATTCAAGGGGTTGTTCTTGTCAGCTGGGTCAGGGGCTGAGTCTCCTGCCCACATCCCCTTCATTGTCCTCTCTGTACCCTGTGCATCCCCATGAATCCACACCACAGCATTTGGAGCCTCTAGTCCAGCTGGTAATTTCCAGGTTATGTTTTGTGCAATGCTTGGCTCCTAGCTAGACAGCAAGCAGCCCAGTGTTGGGCTGATTCTTAGGACAGAAACCATTTATCTTGATTTATGATGAGTGGAGATAGCTGTCTCCCAACAATGGCTTCAATTTTCTGTAGACCTAAAAATAGCAGGTTTTAGACTCTCAAAAGGATTCAGCCCACAATTCAATTCATCAACAACCAGGGTGGTTGTTGAGTGGGTGGCCTTGAGCCAGAGATGAGCAAATGAGACCCTGTCCTGAGCTGTCCTCACTTAACAGAAGTGGCCATTGACCAAATTGGTCATTTCAAAGGCAAAATGAAAGCTGCACTCCCAGCCAACAAAGAGCCTGGAAGAGCAGAGGAGAGGAAGCCATGAAGTGAAGGCCAGTTAGTATGAGTGGAACCCCAGACCAGCAGACCTGGGAGGGGACTGAGGTGTGGAGGGTTTCTTGGAGAAAGTAGTCAAAAGAAGGATTTTTCCCAGTTGGTTGGTGGCTTTGTGACTTGAACGTTACTTAACTCTGGCTGTTTCTCTTCCATAAAAGGGAACTTGTGATTTTAGGATTGGGATGAGTATTAAATGAGAATGTACACAGTGCTTGGCACAATCACTGGTCTGCAGTGAGTACTCAATAAATGTTAGCTGTTTTTATCACATCATTGAAGATCCTAACAGACACCAACATTTTTTAAACCATTTTTCAGAACTATAATTCTATTTCAACCCTTGTTCTGGTCTATTTTGTACATGGTCTCACATACAGGTACTTGTTGAGTGGAAATACACTTTCTTTGGGTGCCACCACTGCTGAACTTTACTGGAAAGACTTAGCATGCTTCTGTTGCCAGGAGGCCTAGAGGCAGAAGTCCATGGGGGTGAAAAGTTCTGCAAAGTTCTGGCAGCTTGAAGAACCCTAAGCACTTCCTTGGGACCCATCAAGTTGTACACTTCTCTAATCTGGAAATTAGGCCTCAAAACAGCTTTGGTAAACATATTTTGCCAAATTCTTGTATCATAATGGGAAGGTGGTCTGATGACCAAGAATATTGATGGTTTGAGTTTGGGCCCTTCCTATCATGTTGTCTTTTTCATGTTATTAGAATTAGTTAATTTTGGTTATTCTTCTCATTATAAAGCCAACTACAGGCTGGAGGAAAGAGAAATGCCAGACTTAAAGAAGTCAAGGATCAGGTTTAAAGTGCATTTCTGCCATTTACTCACTCTGTGATCTCAGGGAAATCACTCTTCACCCGTTTTCTCCATGTAGAAAACAAAGGAGTTAAATTGGATGCATTTGAAACGGTATCTCTGCCCAACTTCCTACTTAAACCTGTAGATCCTTGTCTTCCAAAATAAAAAGATGTTTTCTTTCACTGGCATGGAGTCTGGGGAGCAAAGCAAGCCTTCTGTATGGTAAAACGATGACCAATTTTGCTTCCACTTCTGAAATTCTACCATTTAAACAGATTTCAGCATATTATGGGAAACTGGCCCATTGCCTCAAACCCCAGGATTTTGTAATTTCTAATGTACGAAATCTTTACACATTGCTATTAGTTTAATCATGTAAGTGGGGCAGATTCTCTACAAACCTGTGTATGTTTGTTGCCTTGTTAAACAAAATTAACAAGGATTAAACTGTCGTCAAGTTCTAGATCCATTAAGATACTCGATTTGAATAACGTATTTTAAGTACCTACAACACTATTATACATTAGGGAACACTTAAATATAAGATAATGATTGAAAACAAAATCAGGAATTACAAAACAATTGTTACTGCAAGCAATTTTAATACAAAATGTGTCTTGTTTTTAAACAGTTCATTGGTAGAGCTTCAGTTTCTTCCTCAATTAAGACCAATTGAGATAATCACACAGCAACATGGTCGGAGCTGTAAGAGGAACAGCAGCTAAAAAACAGGAGCCCCAGACTGCCCCTCTTTGTGGTCACTTGGTCAGTTGACTTTTTTACGCACACACAAAAAAGACAGAAGCAGACAGGACTGGTGAACGAGTGTGCTGGTGTGCTCTGTCAGAGAATGAGCAAGTGTTTGTCTGAGGCCCACATTTTCAGAATAGGCTAGTGGAATTCATTCTTCAGTTTGTGGGAAGTTGATCGACCATTTGAATAAATAGCAAAAAATGCCAGATAAATAAATCTGTAATTCGCAATGCCACTAAGGATTCTCCCTCACCAAAGGTTTGGGTCCTGGTGAGTACAGGAGTAATTGGTGGCAAGGCTGAATAATTACAAATCAGTTTAAAACCCCAATGTTCTGACGTTTTATGAACAGTTACATTTACCCCTGAATTCTAGCAGCTATGTGTCCTTTAAACACCCAGTACTGAGACAGTACTCCAAGACAGTATTGCAATAAACTCCTTTGTTGTATCCTGTGGAAACGCCACCTAGATTAGGATTCCTCTCTTCAGTTAACATCACACAACATTAAAACAATGGAAATGCAGTAGGTGCTCCCCCCTCAGTTCTTGCTAATTGAGGTGTCTTGTGATTTATAAAAAGAGTTCCTTAAACACTGCAGGATTCTTATTTTTTTTAATATAATTTATCTTGCTGAGATAGCAAGTCAAGTTTATAAAGAAGATGCATTTAGGAATAATCCTAAAAGATAAAGCAGGTTTACAACCCCTGCACCACGCAGAAACCCTATGAAGAGGCTTTTTTTTTTTTTTTAATACACATTCGCATCTTGACCTTTTCACTTGTTTTTCTCAAATATTTCTGGACCCCATCCATTACAGGGTTACCAGGAGGCAAATTTTATCTACATAAATATTCACATGAAAATAGTAACTTACAAAAAGAAAAAAAATAAGGCAGCTTCATAACACAATTATTCTTTTACACTTTTAACAATATAACTTCTCCCGTTCAGAATAAATATACACCCAATGTGTGGAGCAGGATTCAAAGAGGACAGCGGCATGGGTGCCTGTACAGCGTTATCGCTTGGGCCCAGGAGTCCTGGGGGAGGCAGTGCTGG